CACCTTTTTCACTCTTGGCAGAGCGGTTTCTTTCCTCCATCTGTTGGTCCCAGGCGCTTTGCCAATTGATATGGGCACATACACACACAGACACACACACACACACACACACACACAGACACACACACACACTGACACACACACACACACACACACACACTCAGGCACACACACACACGCGCGCGCGCGCCCCCGCTGAGCCCTACACCCGCAGACCAGATACGGTGGCAGGATGGGCAGAAGTCCACTGGATGAGTGACGACGACGACGACGCCGGTGACAAGGACGATGACAATGGCCATGATGTGACGACGACGACGACGACGACAATGATATGATGATGATGGTGATGATGATGCTCATGATGACGATGACGATAGTGATGATGATGGTGGTAATGGTGATAGTGGTAGTTGTGATGGTCGTGGTGGCCACGATGGTGACGACGACGATGATAATGATGATGACGATAATGATGAGAATGATGATGGTGGTGATGATGCTGATAAAAATGATGGTATGACGATAAGGAGGAGGATGATGATTGTGGTGGCGATGTTGATGATGACTGTGGTGGTCGTGATGACGATCGTGATGGTGACGGTGATGATCATGATGGTGATGATGATGATAGTGATAGTGTTGATGATGATGGTGGTGGTAGTGATGATGATGGTATTGGCGATGGTGTTGGTGATGGTGATTAGGAGGGTGACGGTGCTGATGATGGTGCTGGCGCTGATGATGTTCATGATGGTGTTATCGATGATGTCGCTGCTGCTGACCATGATGATGATGTTGATGCGCATGATGCTGATGATGATAATGCTGATGCTGGTGATGATGGTGATAATGATGATGGTGATGATGATGGTGGTGATGATGGTGATGGAGATGGTGTTGGTGATGAGAATGATGATACTGATGATGATGATGATGATGATGATGATGATGACGATGCTGATGATGATGATGATGATGGTGGTGGTGGTGGTGGCGATGATCATGATGACGACGAGGGCGAGGATTATGACAACAATGGTGACAATAATGATGGCAAAAATAAGAATCATGATGCCAATGAAGATGGCGATGGTGATGATGAATGATGATGATGATGATGATGATGATGATGATGATGATGACGGTGCTGACGATGATGTAGAAGATGATGATGATGATTACGACGACGACAATGATGATGATTAAGAATAGGAGGAGGAGGAGGACGATGGTGGTGATGATGATGAATAGTGTTGATGATGATAATGGTGATGATAATACTGATGATGATGATGATGATGATGATGATGATGGTGATGGTGATGGTGATGGTGATGGTGATGGTGATGGTGATGGTGATGATGATGATGATGATGACGATCATGATGATTATGATGATGGTGTTGGTGGCGGTGGTGGTGATGATGGTGCTGGTGGTGGTGATGATGGCCCATCGGTTCCCAATCGCGGGAGATCCCTGCGGGGTTGCCCACGGATTGAAATCCGCCCAGCGCGGCGGTACCGACACGATGCCCCGCCCGTCCAGCCTGAAACTTTACACGGGCCGTGCGCGGTCCTTTAGACGCGCATGAGGACGGGGTCATGGGCGGAGCACCGCCGCCGGCGCCGGCGCCCCCCGCGGCCGGCAAGACATCTCGCCTGGGAGAGCGCCATGGCCCGCCCCTCTGGCAGGCGACCAGGGCGGGCCCCCCTCCTCAGAACAGGCTGGTCACGAAGTCCCCGACGTCGTCGGCGGCGCCCTCAAGCCAGTCGACCGAGTCCTCCCAGGCGCCCTCGGCCCACTCCCCCGCGCCCTCGCCCCAGTCGGCGATGTCCTCGGCGGCCCCCGAGGCCCACTCTCCAGCGTCCTCGGCGGCCCCCGCCGCCCACTCGCCAGCGGCCTCCCCGGCTCCAGGGGCCCAGTCGGCCACGTCCCCGGCGTAGCCCTCGGCCGCGTCGGCGACGCCGAGGTGCCCCCCAGTGAGGTGGTCCCCGAGGACGACGCCGCCCACTGCCAGGGCGCCCACCGCCGCGATGCCGCCGACGCCCAGGGCGAGCTGCGCGGCGGCGCCGTGCTTCTTCTGCTTCTCGGCCACGGCCGCCGCGGTCTCCCCGGCCTCCGGCACAGGCACCGCCATCTTCTGGCCCGGCCGTGCGCCCGGCGGCACGTTCACCTTGAGCTTCTTGCCCTTGTTGTTGGGGTCGTCGATCTCGATCTCCTTTCCGGCCTGGCCCTTCTTCACGGTGATGACGACCATGGGGCCCGCGGGCAGGAGCGGCGCGGAAGGCTGCGGCATGTTGCGGGGAGGCCGTATGTCGCGAACCTTCTTGGTGCCCAGGTTCGACTGCGTCATGTTCACGAAGCTGTACTCGTAGCTCTGTCCCCGAAGCTGAAACTTGCAGTTCTTCTGCCCAACAAGGTAGGCCTTCTTCAGAACGGCGTCCTCTTCAGGCTCGTAGTCCTTGAACTCGCCGGACAGCTTGATCTGGAACTTGCCAGCCTTACCCTTGCCCTTGCCCTTGCCCTTCCCTGAGCCCTTGCTGCTCTGCTGGCCCGTCTGCGGAGGTGGCGCTGTGGCGGTCGCGGGCGCCGGCGCGGGCGTCGGGGCTGCGGCTTTGTTTTTGCTATCACACGCGCCCATCTTCGAGGCCCTGTGGTGAGAGGCGAGGTGCAGGCAGCCCTTCTGCGGGATGGGAGATTGTCTGCACGGAGGGGTCCACCTCTTGGCTCGAGCCAGGACTGCAACGGCATGCCCGCGCTGACGATGATAAAGATGGCGGGCGCGCTTCCTCCGCTGATGGCATGCAGCACAGCACAGGGTGCACGTCTATTGTGTGGATGTGGTTCTTCGGTGGCAAAAATGTTAGGGGGTCCTGAGGGATGGGGTCCTGAGGGCGAGGTGCCTCAAACAATGCACAGCCATCCTTGGGTCCTTTCCTCTCCTCAGGACCCCCATTCAAATTCCTCAGGGCCCCATCGTTGAGCCACTGAGCTCTTGCGGGGGGGGGGCTCGCCCCCTTCCGAGCGCGGCGCCAGCGAGCAGCCGCGGCACGAGCCCCCTGCAGTGAGGCTCCCGACGCCGCGCCGCATCGCCGACGAACACCGGCGAGGCGGCGCGGCCCCGCGACCACAGCTTCTCTGGCCCAGCCGGAGCGGCCTGAGGAAGCTGTGAGCGGCCTGCTGTGACTGGCATGGAGCAGACGGGCCCTGCGGGAGACGGGCTCTGGACCCCGGCGGCCTCCCTGACACGCTTCCGAAAGGGACGCCAGCGAAGTGGACTTCTGGGACCGCGGCGTTGCATCTGCGACCTCGGCAAGCGCGAGCGAAAGCGTCGCGCAACGACCTCGTGGGCGAAGCCGAACGGGCCTGAGACATCGGCAGTGCGCGTCTCAGAAGTCCCTGCCCCTGGGGTTCCTCTGGGAACCACACGAGGCTCCCCCCGGGACCAGCTTGTCGGTCCTGAGCCGGTTCCCGACAGGCCCGCGGCCACGGGAAGGCTCGGGGGTCCCGAGCACGAATGCTGCGAAAGACCTCGGGGCGCCTCCCCCCCAGGACCCGCTAGCCTCGTGGCAGCGCGAGGGCCCCAGTCGGAAGCGTCCGAGAGGGGGGCGTCCAAAAGGGGGGTTCGCCAATCATTGCCCGAAGCACGTGCGCGGACCAGGGGGGAGGGGCAGGGAACGTACAGGAATAGGAAGCGGAGCATGAAATCAGGTGAGATCTCAGAACCCCGGCAGTTAGATCCACCCCCCCCAGTCATCACCCCCCATTTTGGCCGCCCCCGACCTGGGGCAGGCCTCATGGGCGGATCCGGGCCTGCCGGAAGAGCCCGAGGCACAGCACGACCGTCTCTGGGCCCTGGGCGTCTGCGGTGTTGCTCGCACCACGCCTCGTGGCGCCGCATGTTGCTGGTGGCCCTCCTGTTGCGACCACTGCTGCTGCTGCTGCTGCTGCTGCTGCTGCTGCTGCTGCCCCCACCCGTGCTTATACCGCGGCTGCTGCTTGAGCTTGACCCTGACCCTGACAGGGTTTTTTTTTCGGGGGTGGGGGGTAGGGAGGAGCGGAGGACGATCACGAGGCTTCAAATGCCCCATGCTGCAGGCGCCAAACGGAGCGGACAAATCCTGCCCCCCCAGACAGACGGAAGCCAGCAAACGGAGCTACCCGTGACAATCGTTTCCCGGGCGAGCGCTGACCCTGACCCTGATAGTGATACTGGTGCGGGTATTGGTGCTGATGCTGGAGGCATGCTCATGCTCGTCCTTCCCGTTCTGCTTCTTTCTACCAACAGTAATTAGCTGCTAGCACCATCACTGCACCCAGCCCGGGCATTCCATCTGAAAAAGATCTGAGGTGCTGTCACTCTCTTCTCCTCTCCTTGCATCCTTCCCTTTTCGTCCTCATCCGTCTCGTCCTCTTCCAGTCGCTCTCTTTCTCTTTCTCTCTCTCTCTCTCTCTCTCTCTCTTTTTCTCTCTCTCTCTCTCTCTCTCTCTCTCTCTCTCTCTCTCTCTTCGCTCGTACTCTCTGTGCGCATGCATGTGTTATGATCAGTCGCCTTCCCCTTTCCCTCTTGCATGCAGGTCAATTCGCGACGCCGTGTCCCAGTCTCGCCCAGACGCGCGAGCGGATCGCCTCTGCCGCGCCGCGCCGCGACGTAAAAAAAGTGTTATGCCCAGTCTGTATGTATGTATGTATACCTCTCTCTCCCTCTCCCCCTCCCTCGCAATATATACAGATGCGTGTAGAGGTACAGCTTCTTTCTCTCGCTATATTTGGAAAGATATACATACATACACATGTATGTATATACGTATACGTATGTGCTGCCGCCACTTTCCGCCGACCTTACGCCAGCTTGGGCCAGCGGAGTCGCCGCCATATTACTTCCGCTGGCCTCCGCAGGCCCTCCGCAGGCCTTCCGCAGGCTTCCGCCGAGGTGACATGCGCTGGAGGGAAATCCGTTGGAGCGCCTCATGTCTCTCCCCCGTTGATCCCATCGCACTCATGGACCACATCTCAGAAGTAACTTCGAACACCCAGCAGGGTGTCGAAACAGTGTCTGCCCGGCACGCTGGAGAAGTGTCGAACGAGTATCGCCTCCCAGGGCCCGACACGCACCCTACAGTTGAGGTGCTTCCCTGATGCTCGGAATCCTTTCTGGGGATCAGAGCGAAAGTGGGCTGGAACAGCATAGCAAGAGACGTACAGAACCGGAAGGAACACAACGCAGGCGGCACCGTGTTTTCACCATGTTCGGCGATCGCCGTGTGCTCTGCCGTCTGCGCTAAGTGGTACCAACCCTTGCGATCGGAACCACAAATGGCACGGTGGCAAGTGCTGCGGAGCGGCAGCGCGAGCTTGCACTCGACACGGGAAGCCGCTGCCTAAACTAGCGCACGAAGGACCCCTCTTGCAAGCGCGGCGCTGAACAACAGCCGGCCGCATCGTGCACGAGGCTGGCCGCGGCGTCGTTGGCTTGACACCATGCAGCTCTGACGGCGCATTATTCTTCTTATCTTCCAACCGAGCTCCGCATAGGGCCGAAGTGCTCGATCGGGCGCAACGCGCAACGCGGGCCGCGCAGCTCAGTATCTACCTCGGGAACACGCGGCAGGGAAGTCCAGACGACATTCCGATCGTAAGTTGCGTGTCGGGCTTGATGGCGTCTCGCGGAACAGCGAGCTCAAATCTGACTTTTCGCATGACCTCGGCCAAGAAAGCGCGCATCTCCACCCAGGCCAGACGCTTGCCCAGACACTCACGCGGACCAGCATTGAAGACTGGATAGACAAAAGAGCTTGGGAAATCTCGGCCCTCCCATCGCTCCGGCTTGAATTCTGCAGCATCTTCTCCCCAAAGATCCTTGGAACGTCCCATGGCATAAGGATGAAATTGGAAAACAGCGCCGGCCGGGATGAACGTGCCGTCAGGCAGGTAGTCATCTTGGACACACATCTTGGTGTCAGCGGGAACGGAGGGGTACAACCTCAAGCCTTCATTGATAACGTTTTGCAAATACTTAAGCTTCGCAGTGTTGCTGTAGGTAATGGGATCTTCCCCGAGCACGTCTTCGATTTCCTCCAATATCTTCGCCTCCACCGTCGGGTGCCCCATCACCAAATACAAAGTCCACGCGAGAGACTGCGCCGTGGTGTCGCGCCCCGCGATCAAAAAATTCAAGACCATGTCCCTCAAGAAGCTGTCGTTAACCTGCTCGCCAGTCTTCTTTGCATGCTGGATGAATAAGCCGACGAAGCTATCACCCTTTCCTCCAGAGAGATCCTCTTGCAACATGTGGACCGTCTCCAGGCTGTAGTCGCTCAGCATCTGGAAGTGGCGACGGGCCTCGCCCTCCTCGCCGATCCTCAACAGCCGGCGGATGCGCCACAGGGGCTGCAGGAATCTCAACAGCGAGATCTGCTGGGCTCGATCGAAAGACCTGAGGAACGGCGATTCTGCGTTACCTAAAGAGCCAATGTCGCGAGCAAAACCGACCGAGCCAATCGTATCTAACGTGAAGCGATTCAGAATGTCGAACAGGTCGATTGTCCCACCTTCAGGAACATCGCGCAGGAGCTGAGAAACACGCGCGCAATTTGCGCCAATAACGCGCCATATGTGATTCTTGAACTGGTCATTGGAGAACATTGGGGCGGCAATCTTCCGTTGTGAATGCCAAGCCGGCCCATCAACATTGAAAATGCCGTTCCCAAGCAAGTCCGTCAAGCGGTCTTGGAAATAAACACCTTTGATGTAGTTGTCGAAGCGCGTCTTGAGAACATGCTCAACATTAACTGGGTCAACTGTAGTTACGATTTTAGGCTGTAAAGGCACATCAGCCACGCATGTTTTGCCGTACTCAGAATGCTGTTTGGTCCACCAATCGTGCAGGGTGTGGTTCGATGCACATGTCAAAACCTGGAACAAAACTCCCAAGAGCCAGTGACCTTTCACATAGGGCGCGCCTGTAGGACGTGGAAAGCATCTCTGGTAATACTTCCGAAGCAGGTAGACCAAAGCCACCAGCAGGGCAAGCGGCCTGGCAGTGCTAATGGCCCTGAGGCTGCCCGCCATGGAAGCCTGCACTACAACTACGGCAGCGGGGTGCCCTGGCACAACATGGCCTGAGAGAGAGTGGCTGCGGACAGGCACGATGCTGGGAGAGAGGAGGGCCGAGGGGGAGGAGGAGGAGGAGGAGGAGGAGGAGGAGGAGGAGGAGAGGAGGAGGAGGAGGCGGACGGAGGAGGAGGAGGAGGAGGAGGGAGGAGGAGAGGAGGTGGAGGAGGAGAGGAGGAGGAGGAGGAGGAGGAGGAGGAGGAGGAGGAAGAAGGAGGAGGAGGAGGAGGAGGAGGAGGAGGGAGAGGAGGAGGAGGAGGAAGACGACGACGACGAGGGTGCCCTGGCGCAGCATGGCCCGAGAGGGAGTGGCTGCAGGCGGGCACGAGGCTGGCATCGGGAGGTCGTTAATGTCGGCCCTGCGCGTGGCCAGGGCCAGCGGGTGTAGTTGTGGGGCGTGTCCCCAGACAGGGGGATTTTCGACAAAATTGTAAAATATTCAAAAACATACACCAAAATGGTCAAACGATACTCAAAAAATTGTCCCCAGACGAATATTCCCCCTGTAGAGGGACAGGCCCGACTTAAGCCTGGTGCGGGTTATCCCACAAGTTGATCCCTCATCGGTACGACTGGGGTCGCTCGCACGGTGGGCTGCGTTGCTGTATGATGTCTCGAGGTCGCGCTTACTGAATGACGCACGCGCGTCCACGTTACACCAGGCTGGTCTCCACCAAGCGGGGGAGTCTCTCACGCCATCCAGAATCAGTCTGGCGAGCAGCTGCCGATGAGGATCGAAGCACAACGGAAGAAACAGATCCAACTCGTAGCTTCCCCCCCCATCCCAGGAAAGATAGGCAAAATGTTTAATATGCGGCGAGTTGACTCTAACAAGGCATCGGGCTAACAGCGGGACGCGCCCGTAGTTAATTACGGCGAAATCACACGAGGGGGAAGAAGGGAGAAGGAAACGGCCGCAGAACGGCCGCAGAGCTCGCCGACCATGTAGATCTTGAAGCGGCGCCTGAGGCCTGAGGTCAGGCTCATGATCTCGACGACGGAAAAGAAAAAGATAGAGAGAGAGAGAGAGAAACAAACAAACAGAAAATGCTCACAGGAGGAGGGGGAGCGAGGAGGAAGGAGGTGGACCCGCATGAGTTCTCGGCCCCTAGCTCTGGAAGCCTCTGGTCCTTCGCGGATCGCTGGAGGCCCACCGGAAGCATCCCCAAACCTCCGAAGTCGTGATGTCTGTCACAGCGTCGACACCCAGAGATCTGGACCCCTTCCCCAGGACCGGTGTTTCATCCTGCATCATGTTTTGACGGTCCCCAGAGATCCGAAGATATGCGGGCGACGTTCATCGATTCCGGCTTCAGGGGCCCGCTATCGGGACCAGGGACCATCAGAAATGGATCCGGGATGCAAAACCACCCCTGGGGAAGGGGTTCGGACCCCTGGGGCCGCGGATTGAAACAGTCAGATCGACCTGAGGCCCAGTGAGGGCCACTGGAAGCCTACAACAGCAAAAAAGCCTCCCGTCGCGATGCTGCTCCCAACGCGCAGGGGCCTGGGCCCGCGGGCCTGCGGGCATCTCCCGCGCCCCGCGAGAGGCCTCCAGAGACTCCCGTGCTCATCTCGCAGCACGCGGTGCACACCGGCACTGTGTTGCACGCGGCTGCCCCTGGTATACACAGGCGGCGTGGTGTACACAGGCGCTGTGGTGCAGGCAGGCACCGTGGTGTACACAAGCGCTGTGGTGCAGATCGCCACCCACTTGCTGCTGCCAGTTACCCGTCCTCGGCCAGCCCGAGGCATTCCCGGACGCCGCCGGCGCGAAACGTGACGTCGTCTGTTCTCTGTTTGCACTGCTTCAGGGGATCGTCTGGAACCAGAGACGCATCAGGGAAAAGTCAGCCAGTACGACTGGGCGACACATGCATGTGAGAATGTGCCACCTGTAGCCACAATCGGCCCCCTCCACCCACCCACCCCAGCTGACGGCCGTGGTCGCCCCGGGATAAAAAAAGCAAGCTTTACTGCGCTGCTCGAGCCCACGAGGGGCCTCCGGGGGCCCCCGCCGAGAGCTCCAGGAGGCCTCCGGGGCTCGGCCCCCGCTCCACGCCGCCATCGCGGACGTGGGCGGGCCGGCGGCACAGAGCCCTTATGGGGCGGAGGAGGAGGAGGAGGAGGAGGAGGAGGAGGAGGAGGAGGAGGAGGAGGAGGAGCAGGAGAAGGAGGGGGAGGAGGAGGCAGGAGGATGAGAGGAGGAGGAGGGGGAGGAGAGGAGGAGGAGGAGGAGGAGGAGGAGGAGGAGGAGGAGGAGGAGCAGCAGCAGGAGGAGCAGCAGGAGGAGCAAGAGGGAAGGCGAGGAAGAGGACTGGTGAAGGAACGATGCGTAGTGTGGAGGACCCGGTCTTGCCGACAGACCCTTCGGCTCGAGCATTACGGTGAGGGGGCATCGGAAAAAGACCCAATGTGTAAGGAACCCAGGGTCTGGAAGCCGTTGGAACGCCAACTGAGGCTTGGCCATGAATGTCACCACCGACCACAAGCGGGCCCAAGAGGCCCCCTAGAGGAGCCCAAGAGAGGGAACTTGAACTGACGTTTAAGCTCCTCCCCACAAAGATGCCCCCGGGACAGCCAGCGGGCCAGCGGGCCCCTGGAAGGCTCCCACGGGGCCCCCGCAGCTTGCAAGAGACCCCCATGAGGCCCGCAAGAGGCTCCGATGAGGATTCCCAAGAGGGTACCAAAATTCTGCCGAGAGGCCCCCCAAGACGACGACGAAGACACCCCAAGAAACATCCAAGAGGCCTCTTGTCAACGACACAGGCCTGGTGGCGGAGTGGGCCAGGAAACCAAACAATGGCGGCGATTTCCTTCCAGTGACGATGGTGATGGCGATACTGCAAACAACAAGCGTGTCTGATAACGAGCTGCTGGGCTCGCGTCTTGCGCGCTGCCGTTGCACGGTGCCCCTGTGACACGATCAAGCCCAAGAGATTCGCTACGTATCTTCACAAAACTTGCTGACACCCGTGTTCCCGTCCACAGAAGCCCGCATGCCAGTCCTGCGATCGCGTATAACGTCTATGCCGCTCACGGCGGGCCTGTCATACTCCCGCGCACAGAGAGCGCCGTGCTGCAGTGTGCCTCCCACCTGCAAGATCACCCCAGCACGACCAACGAAGAGCGGGGTCCAAGCCGGTTCTGTGAGCACCATGGCGAAGATCTCCTCTCGCTCCAGCCGCTCCGTGGGGCTCGTCAGAACACGAACCCTGCCCTCGGCAACGCAAAAGGAAGAAGCAGAGCCGATCAAGGAGCCAGGCTCTCCCTGAACCACACTGGGCTTCAGGATGCGGCAACGGGAATCAACGAGATATGGGCACTGTTTGGACCGCAGCGCGCGGAGGAACTGCTTCCTGCGGGGAGCGAGAAGATGTCGAACGTACAGGGATGGGCCCTTTCCAAGCAGCATCCACCTCTGCGAGCTTCAGATGAAACACCTCGCCAACGTCATCGAGGCGCCTGTGAGCGAGGAGATTCGCCACACAAGCAAGGATCGCTGTGCGAGCGGTGGAGTAGACCTCCGCCAGCGCCAGCTTCGGCGCGCTGGAATCCACATGACCTCATCGAGGCACAGAGTCTGCTGGCGGACACTTCTTTTGGAGAAGCAGCCAGCAGCGGCCAACTGCTCGCCCTGGATCCTTCGGCGCATGGCCATCCTCTCTTGCGGGAAGACACATGGGGCATGGGTACCTTGACCGACATTGCGCCTCGCCCGCATGGGGAGCGCGTCGGGCTGCCCGTGATACCGTCGGCACAGTCAAACCTGTAGTTGTCCGTGAAGCGCGCCCAGCTTTCCACAAAAATGCCTGGGTCAGACAGAAGCTTCGCCTGCGATGTTCCAGCGGATCAATTCCACGAGCTCCGCGCACCGGCCGTCGCACGCGCCCGAAGTCTCCTCGGGGAGCTGGCGGGCGAGCTCGCGCATGTCGATGGTCAACTCTATGAGAGGATCTTCAGAGTAACCGCACAGCAGCGTTTCCACCTCCTTCCGTTCCGTCTCGGTCTGCGCGCCCACGTGGATTTTATCAAGGCCGCAGACGATCGCCAAGACTGCCCATGCCCCACCCATCTGCAACTGCAACACGGCTTCCACGGTGGAGAACACTTCCACCACGTGAGCAAACATGCCTTGATCAGCTGGACCACGAGTCGCAAACTCCTCGGGCCTCGTGCGACATTGAACTCTCAACTCCCTCAGCTCTCGACTCGCGCTGGCAGGATCGGCTTGAAACCTGTTGAACATCTTATTCATCTGTCATAACGAGTTCTACGACATAAGGATAACGAACGCGCTGCAGCATAACACCTCCAACGGCAAAACTGCGCTCTTGTACTGCTTGTCGTCGCACTCCTCGCCTTGGAAAATTGGGGCCCGTTAGGGGGGCAAGGATTTACAACTCTCTGGCGATGACCTCAGGATTGAAACAAAGGAAGCGTAACATGTGGCTGGAATTCGTCAGCATCCTCGTGCTGCCGTTGATAAAGAAAGCTGGTTTGGGCCCCGTGGCATACTGATGCCTCCGATGTCCATGGCAGCGCAGTTTCCAATCGCGTAGAGCTCAGGGTCCATGCGCGCGAAGGGCGAAGTTGCAGTCGCCCCACTGGCGACGCTGCAATCGCAATCCGCCGCCGCCCCCCGCCCGCGGGGCCTCGAGGCCGCGAACCGTCGCGCAAAATCTCGCCCGCGGTGCTGCCGCAGCACTGTCGCAGGAGAGCCTGCGCGGCAACTCTAACAGACACCCCCCCCCAGCCCGCGGGAGTTCCCCCCTCTGGCATCTCGCGCAAGGTGAACGCCACGCACGGATCACCTCCCAGTCGATCCCCCTCGCCCCCGCGCAGGGCGCAGAGCTTTCCCTCCTGGGCGACACCCGTGCTCCACCAACCCCTCCCGGGCGATGGCAGCCCCCCCATGGCACCCGGAAGAGCCTCGAGAAGCGCCCCTGCCATTGGCGTCAGAGGACCAGGCCCCGCAGCGAGCCCTCCTAAAACCTGCCTTGGCACAGCGGGAGGCACTGCTG